TGCAAACCTCGAAATGCTCAGGAAAAATACACGAAAGCTTTTTGATAAAGCAAAGAAAACCGGAAACTGGGAAGTGGGAAGCATGTCAGAAAACCCAAACCGAATACAACAAAGAAATCCGGAAAGCAAAAATAGAATCCTGGAAGATAGCGAAGATGAAAACACTTCCGAAAGAGGCCGTTTCCAGAAAATTCTAGCCAAGAGTCCGATAGAACCGACGGGAACCATTGAAAAGCCTGACGGGAACTTCACAAAAAAAAAAAAATAGGGAAAAAACTTTAAGTTCACTTCTTCAAACCCATCTTCCAGACTTCATCGAAGTTATCCCTGATAGCAGAAACCCATCATGCCGTTCCGCTTTCCGTACTGGAGCGAAAAAGGAGGACTGGGAACTTGCTAAAAAAGCGGTAACCAACGATGGCATAAAATTGGTGATAGGCTCATTTGACAGCTTCAAATCACCGGGACCAGATGAAATGATACCAGCACTCCTACAAGAGGCGGTGGAGCTTGTAGCACCACACCTCTGCAGGCTGTGCAGTGCCAGCCTGGCAACAGGCTATCTTCCTGAGTCCTGGAGATAAGTAAAAGCGGTCTTTATCCCAAAACCTGGCAGAGAACCATCTCAGGCCATGTCATACAGACCGATCAGCTTATCGTCTTTTATGTTGTAGGTAACAGAGAAACTAGTTGAAAAGCATATCAGGGAAATCTCACTGAAACAGAGGCCACTCACCAAAACCAACGTGCCTTCGAACCAGGTAAATCATGCGAATCAGCTCTATACCAAGGGCTGGAACTCTGTAACGGATAGAAATCGTTATCCTTATCGCTATGGCACTTGCTGTCTTCTTCTCTCTTGTCGAAATCAATAGAGAGGTGACGTCAATAGAGATAGAGAAAATATCTCTATTCGTTACAGAGTCCCAGCCCTCTGGTGACAAGAGTAGAGAACTCACTAGAAAACAAGGAAATCGCACTAGTGGCAATCCTTCACATTAAAGGAGCCTTTAACCGCACCTTCAACTCCATAGTCAGAGCTGCTGGGCAACATGCGATTAATGATCCCACATGCAGATGGATCAATCGACTATTGCTAGAACCTCTATCAAAGTAACCGCGACAAAAGGATAGCCACAGGGCGGAGTACTTTCACAACTTTTGTGGAATTAAGTCGTGGATGAACTTCTGAGGAAAATAAGCGATCAAGGCTACTTCACTCTAGGCTACGTGGATGATATAGTCGTCATTAGGGAAGGATTTACCAGGACGGTATCAAACCTCATGCAGTTCGCCTTAGGACTCATTAAGGGATGGTACTCGAGGGAGCAACTTTACGTCAACCCCTCCAAAACAAAACTCATTCCTTTCACGAGAAAAAGAAATCTGGAGGACTTTATCGCCCCCAGTCTATTGCAAAAAACTGTGGAAATTGGCAAAGAAGCTAAATTTCTAGGCGTCATCCTAGATATGAAGCTGAGATGGAACCAACACATCCAAAAGATAACCACCAAAAGCAAGATGGCGTTGATGTCACTAAAAAGAGCGATTGAGAAGACATGGAGACTAAAACCTTCAGTGATAACATATGATATACTTGAATGGTGGCCCAAAGTAAACCAAAGATGAGCAAACCTGGAGCTAGCCAAAATCCAGAGACTTGCATGTCTTTGTATCACCGGTGCACAGAAAATCTCACCAACAGCAAATATGGTGGAAGCGACCCTAAACCTCCCACCAATTGACCTTATCGTCAAAGCGGAGGCTAGAATCGGGGCATATCATCTGCAGCTGAACGAAACGTGGAGCCCAAAACCAAATGGACATGCGGCAATCACCAAAATAATCACAAATTGGATAGCGACTATATGATGCCGAAAAAATCCCTCGAAAAACCCTTCGCCATCGAGATTATCCCAGTAGGAAATACCGGGGTAACACCTAAACAAGAAATTGTCTGGTTTACTGATGGCTCCAAAACAGAAACTGGAACCGGCGCTGGAATATATGGACAAACTCCCAGATGTAACATCAGTCAATCTCTGGGAGAATACACTACTGTATTCCAAGCAGAAATATATGCCATTGACTCCTGTCTGAGAGAAAACCTAAGGAGGGGATACACAGATAAAAACATCCTTATCTGGTGACAGTCAAGCGTCGATTTAAGCACTCAACAGCTTTGAAATAAAATCCAAACAGTCTGGGAATGCTTGGAAAACCTCGAAAACCTAAGTAAGGCCAACAAGGCCAACAATTAAATGGGTGCCAGGGCATAAAGGAATTGGAGGAAATGAAAAAGCAGATGTTCTGGCAAGAAAAGAATCAGCAACCTGGTCTATATACTGGTCCTGAACCGGCAATTGGCACCAAAAAATCTTTGGTGAGAACAAAAATAAAACAACGAATGAAGTAGAAAAAAAAATTCATGGATCTCTCCTGTTCTCTCACTCTAATGTTGGCCGCAAATATATGTATTGAGTAGATAGGCAAAGGGCTATTCCAACCTTCTTACTACTTCATTGGTGTATAGACAACACTTAACTTACTGGCAAACTCTTCCGAAGCTCAGACACAGTGAGCTAATGGTACAACAACCATCACCTAAACTTACTGAAGAGATCCTACAACTAAATAGGAATCAAATCAGGCTAATAACTGGACACTGTAGCCTGAGAAAACACTTCCACACAATGGGCATCCTCCAAGAAGAACCCATATGCAGACTTTGTGACGAGGAGGATGAAACCGCCACCCACATACTCTTCGAATGAGTCAATGCGAGGCTTTACGCTGGTGGAGATACAGACAGGTAAGGCCAGAAGATACTATCCCTAAACTCACCAAAAATAACACGGTGAAGAGGCTTCTAAGCCTTATCAAGGTCACGAAACTTTCCAATGACTAAACAGACGGACAGGACAATACAATAAGCCGACCGACGGCTGCAGTGTTTGGGCCACCTAACCACTCTGCACCTCAACCAACCAACATCTACTACATTTGAGCATTCCAGATCAAAAGTCAAAGATTAAAACTATAATATTGAAAATACAGAAAAATTGTTACTACAATTGCCATAAATATTATTTTTTTGCCTCTGTAAAATTATGTAGCGTTTTCATGAAGTTTTAAGGAAAACCACCTATTTAAAATATTATTTTTCTGCGATTGACAAGAAATGTCAGCATTTTTGACCAGTTGACAGGTCGCAAAACTCAATATTCTGGTTTAATAATGTTTCAATAGTTGCTAAGAAATCAATGAATAACAATACCGGGACGGGGGGTGATTCTTGTACTGCTGAACAATTGGAACAAAAAGACAAACATTTAACAGAAATTTAACCGATCGCAGAAAAAATAGTATGTGTATTTCGGTGGAAAAGCACATTCTCGGCCTTCGGTGTTTGCCCGAGAATGTGTCACTTTTCCACCTAAATACACAATATACTATTCTTTTAATCTTAACTTTTTTTAAAAAACGTTCACTGAATGAAAGTAAATGTTGCAACCATGTATGCGTACTGAAAGGGTAGATACCGAACGGGAGGTAGAGAAGAAGCGATTAGGCATTAAACTAGAGAACAAGCTGGGCTGGTCCCTTTAAGACGCGTGTCTGTAATTATTCATTATTCAATTTTCATTTTTATCGATGTTCAATCCAATTTGTTATTAGTGTATTTATCCAGGTGCAATCACAGGTCAGTTGAATATTTGTTATTTTGTTTTTGAGAGTTCCATTATTTATACAAGTATCATTTTTTCCATTTTTATGTTTTTTTGTTTGTTTATAACAACTTTTTATAACATGTGCATTGTTTATGTATTTAACAAAAATCGTTTCATGCTGTGAACAACACAGATAAAGAAATAAATTAAAACCCAAGAAATTATGTGCTGTCTTTTTGAATTATGTGTTTTGATTTTGTGTATTCCGAACGTACATTAGGGCCTTGTTGAATTTACTAATATTTTCCTACCCTGACGAGAGAATATCCTAGAAAATTGAAATAATCAATCTGGAGATATTGGCTCAAGATCAACTATAGCTGAGTAGCTTCCCGTATGGGACCTCAGTAGCTGCTGGGAATCTGGCTAACTAACCAAAAACTCTTCAGTATTGCATATAGGTAGTGTTGATTGAATGTAGATTGTGTAATTTTAACACAAGAACAAGGGCGGCACCTAATTTAAACATTTATTGACTTAAATTATTGAATTATTGACTCACAATGATCATCAAAATGACACAGTATGTTCCGATTGTTGAGGAATGTTACATTGAGGATTTCTCTGCCGTGCTCTTTCCCCTCGTTAGTTCCAGGATGAGAACGGTACGATTTACTTTAATGATAAAGTAGACGTTTCACAAATTTTTCGTTTCTTTTACATATCACAGCTTCCCTAATATTATATGCTATGTCGGGCGCATGTCTAGTAAGTAAAATTGAGTAAGTTTCCACAACACAATTTGTTTTTCATTTCGTTTTTCAGAATATTTGTTGTTTAAAAGGTAATCAAAATTCACACCGTTCATTCTTGCTGAACGAACCCGGGTATGTTATACTACAGTTTATTCAGTGATTCATTTCCCTATGCCTATAAATTTCCTTCAGACGTTTCTTGAACTATTTTTTACAATTTTTACATACAATTTTAAGCCTATTTTCTCGTTAGTTTCCTTGATATATTTACAGTAACACGTAAAATTCCCGGGTTGTGTCGTGTCTCTCTTTGCGTATGTACCCCCTAAACTGAAAACTTGGAAGGGAAATCGATTGAGCAAACACGAAACTTTGCTCTCATCACACAACTTATTGCAGGCCGATATAAAGAGGAACTTGGAACTGCTATTGAGGCGAACTCTTAGGAATAAATATTTGAGACGCCAAAATCTTTTTGATGGTCCGTTTTTTCCAGTTGTTGAAATTAGTAAGGAAAAACAGTAAAAAACAGTAACTTTAAAAAAATAATTATTATTCAGTATCAAAATATTATTTGCTTTTGTCTATTACAATAGGTGCAACGTGTGAATAATTTATCTACTATTTTGAATTATTATTGTATTATGGTTATTATTTGATAATTATTTATTGTTATAAAATTAACTGTTAGGTTAAAATTGAAGAGTAAAATAGACAAATAACAGTTAAAAAAATATATATTTTGGCAACACACTAATCAATTGTTTGGCAAATTAGTTATTTCAAATTAGGTGAATTTTGCTCTCACACGACGTCAAATCAAAATGTTAAAATAACTAATTTGGATGCCGATTTCAATTACTTACTACATAAAACTAATAGCAAATTCAATTAGGCACTAGCTGACGTCACATACATAACCTCACTTCCGTTGGGAGGACAAACAAAGCGTTTGAAAGGTCCATTTAACACACAGGCGCTAGTTTGTAACCAATGACATAACGTGACTTTCGATAGGGCGACAAACATGTCATTGAGGTTATGTGTGAGACGTCAGCTAGCACCTAATTGGCAGAAACCGGCGCAATCCCAATCGATTTGATCAAGACTTTCTTTCAATTACATACCTACCAAGTTTATGCGACAATGCGACCACTGCGCATTTTATGAATCGGTTGCATCAAAACCCGAAACGAGATTTTTCATAATGCAGATGTAATATCCAAATATCACGATATAACGTGAGAAATTGGAACATGGAGTTTTTCAGACAACGTTGCCAACATTACCTTACCTTGTTTCAGATTCTTTACTGAGATCTGTACTAGCAGCGCAGTAGTACATTGCTTCACCAACGTTGCTAGATTGCCTTTGGAAATCCAATAAAGAATCTCCAAAATCCGACAGGAGAACCAAATCTCATCAAAATATGGATTATCCAACACAATGAGCTAATTGACTTGGGTCAATGCATATATTCACAGTCAGACTTATTGTTTACATCAATTATGGAGGAGATTTCAGAAGAAATGTATGAGCTTTTTGCTCCACAAATACGGTGTTGCGGTTAAACTTTCCAAGTCTACATTTTGGGAGCCATAGAACGATTTTGTCCTTGTGCTTCCCGAAAGAATTCTGAATAACATAATTGAGTGTGGAGAAATCTTGAAAAAAAAAAAAAATTTGGGATAATTCCAACTAACCTCAGTCGCATAAACGTGGTAATTCGAAACTCTTTGGCTCTTACGCAGATCGTGGATTCAAAGATTGAGAAAATAATACAGTTCTTGAACAGAGAAACATACGAAAAATTAAGTCGATTGCTGTTCTCCGAAATCGAGTCAACTTCAAAATTCATTCTCTTCAAAATAGTTACAATTTTCTCCTGTTGATATTTTCATAAGCCACGGTCTTGAAAATCCAAATTTGAATGGAAAAACAGCAATAATCTTGAAAGCAATTTGCTCGATAGAATAATTCATTAGGCTGCGCAAAACTTGCAAATGATGCATATATTGCACTACTAGTTTCGCTCATCGACTTTGCTACGAATTCACAGATACTATTTCGAATCTAGTAGGCAAAGAGCCTTTGCTTGAACCAATAAAGCCAAATTCTGATATTTAAAACAGCATAAAAATCAGTCAAAATAAAAATAAAAAATATTATATAAAAAAAAGTGCTGTCTTTTAAATAATTTATACATATAATAATAATTATTGTATCATTTATTCCTAAAAATAAATTATTATTTCATTATGTAGGTGTATCATTAATAAGTAAACCTTTAGCTATTCCAGTGTAGCTGATATTAATCAAAATTTAACGTCCAAATGAACAAGATAGTCAAGTTCAAGTTAATGTCAAATGAATCCTAAATAGAGGCACTGTTACAATGTATACTATCATTTTTATATAAATATTCAAGACACGATAAAAAGGCACCTGGCGACGGTAAAATTTTAAATTATTGCTAACTTTATTTACCCTTTGAATAGCACCATAAACTACTTGCTTTAGTGAAATAATACGCTCAATATAACATCCCAAACTAGTTAGTTATGTGTGAATTTGTTATACAAAATGAGCATTGAAACTTGATAATTCCAAATTCTATTCTACGTATGCAAAACCTACATCCCATTTGTAACAATAATTATTACAATCTACTCTAACCTAAAACGTTTATTTTTAGGACTCAACCTCCGATCATTTCACTTTAATTGGAATGCTCAGTTAGATTCATAGCTGAAATATTTAAATATGAAGTGTCATATGTCATCTTTTCTATATGAGTCGTTACTCACAATATTTTTAGTTTGATTTATAAACTAGTAACAGGTCCAGTTAAAATAACCCTAGGTGTCGTAGAAGATGCAGTGGTACTTATCGAAAAACTGTCCACTGATGTTTTACCATCTTCCGAAGGATCGGATGTATTAACGTCACTCCTACGTAACATATTTGATAATCTTTGGAGAAAATAAACAATCAGACATGTATTTTAAAACCATTCCATTGGTACTTACTGCAAGACTTTCTGATCAGCCTCCTCTTTCTTAGCCCGAGCATCTTGCAATTCCCTCCTCAACTCCAAGGCTTCCATTTCCAGATCGAAAACTTGCCGGGCAGATTTATTTTTCTCATCTATACCGGATAGTGTGGACGAATTGAGAATATTCACGGTGTCATCAGATCTGAAAGGAAAGTATATAGCTTTTGAAATAAAGACTTATTTATACGGCAGTCTTGTTGGAAGATTTTCAAATGTGGTTGTCTAATGAAGGTCAACACGTGGCAAACTAGTACCCAATTTCGAGAACACCAAAAATCGGCATATGAACACCGAAACGCGTCTGTAATTGGATCCCTTGCAAAAAATGGTTATAATATTGTGGCGCGTTTTGCCAGCATGTACAGAATCTAGAAAATACTGGTTAGTAGTTTTAAGTTTAAGATTGACTGTGATACGATTAAGATAGTAAATTTTGTAAAGAGTTAAGTTGTAAGTTAATAACTGAAGTAATTAGTATCAGAGTGTGTAGTTACGTGGAATAAACTATTGTTGTGTTAATTGAACTTCGATTTTGGAATAAAAGAACCCAAAATTTCTGTCACGCACCACAGAGCCGGCACATTGGTGTCGGAGGTGAGATATAATTCGAGAGCTGCAAAGTGAAATCCGAATACAGAATAGTGCGCGGACACTAGGGTGAACACTATAGTGAACACTGGGACAGTTAGCCAGTGTAAGCAGTGACAATCACCAAAAAAGACTAAACCGATGGTGTAAATTACCCCGGGAGTGACCGTATACCCGATTTTCACTCTGATAGTGAATTTCCAAGTAAGTTCTAGAAAATTCTATTTAGAAACTAAGGGAGATATCGAATTTGTGACTTCACCGACGTATTTGATACATCAATCGTCATTCAGAAAAAGAATTTCGAGGAATTTCGGGAGAATTCTAGAACATTCTATTTGGAAACCAAGGGAGATATCGAACTTGTGACTTCACTGACGTGTTTGCTATATCAATCGACATCCAGAAAAGACATTTCTGGAAAATTCTAGAACATTCTATTCGAGAATAAAACAAGCTATCCAATTTGTGACTTCACCGGCGTGTTTGGAACTTCAATCAAAGACCTGGGAAAATATCTGAAGAGAGTTTGAGGATAATTCCAGAACATCCTGTATATGCCTATTACGAGACAACAACCAAAAATGGAAGAACAAAAAGCTGAGGAACTTCCGCGCAAAATGTTGGAGCTTCAAGAGACCAAACAACAACAAGAAAAACCAGACGAAGAGGCCAGACGACAAAAAAGAAAACAAGAAGAAGAAGCTAAACGACAACAAGAAGAACAACGAAGAGGACAGACGACAAAAAGAAAAACAACAAGAAGCTAAACGACAACAAAAAAAAACAAGACGAAGAAGCTAAGCGACAACAAGAAAAACAAGATGAAGAGGCCAGGCGACAAAAAAAAAACAGCAAGAAGACCTTGGACAACTACAGAAAATATTTCAAACCATACACGGATTTATCGCTAACCTAGAACAAAAGATTACGGAAGTAAAAACCGAAGTAAAAGTAAAAGACCAAGACGTTAAAAACGATGTTCAAGAAGTTGATGATAATGTTCAAAAAGTTAAAGACGATGTTGGAGAAGTTAAAAACGACGGTGGAGTAAAATCACAATGAAATTATGACTTTGAGTGATTCCGAGGTATAACCAGATGAAACCTATATCATCTTGTAGAGTACACTCTGGGGCAAAGGAAATGGGAATGTACAACTTTTTTTAGTAGGAATGAACTTTGAAATCGGCCCTTAAACGTGACTGAGCTCGAATTTGAAAAACTACGTTTTTCTAAACATTACCCGCTGTATTAATTTAAGCATACAATCTAAAATTCTGATTTTTTGCACACTTATACTTGAAACATGAGCGCATCTAATGACAGTTCAGAAATTTCGAAAAGGTTTAAGGTTTTTTTGTTAAAAAGTTAGGAATATAGAATTATCAAAATCGTGCATCTAAAACTTCACCCTGCGGCGAGCAACGTGAATTGTTGAAAATTTCTATACATATATATCGAAAGAAATGTAGTAAAAACATTGACGAAGTTTTTGAAAAAAAAAATTAAGTCGCTAAGTTTAAAAGGGAGGCCGCACATCAAAGAAACATGAAACGTAAAACATGAAACATAAAACGTGAAACACGTTTCATGAAAATAGAATAAGAACAAACAAATACAAGTCCGCACACCAATGAAACGAATTTGTTTCATGCGCGAGAAACATTTTTATTACATGAAACGTGTTTCATGAAATAGATCGCGTTCTATTTTTTTGTTTCAGTTTCACTGTTTCTCTTCATAGGTAATAATTTTGTGAATGTTTGTATATCTACTCTTTCTATAAAACGATTGATTTTTGGCAGGATAATTGTTTAATTCCTTTGCAACCAAATATATGCTATGTTTATGATTTATATTATTGTATGGATGTACCCAGTAATGTCGTTTCCTTTTTTTTTGCTTTTTGATGATAATAAAAGAGACGCCACAACAGCAACAACAACCTCGTCCTCACTTTCCATTGTGTACTACACTCTACTTCACACTTCACTACCCTGAAACGACTTTGCAAATATATTAATTATATTTGCAACAAGAAACAATAATTATTTTTGTTTCTTCAATTAGTATGCACGAAAGAAACGGTTTCGCTTTTCGTAATTTATTGTTTCATGTTTTACGTTTCATGTTTGATGTTTCACGTTTCATGTTTCTTTGATGTGCGGCCTGTCTTAAGGGAGGCCGCACATCAAAGAAACATGAAACGTGAAATATGAAACATGAAACGTGAAACACGTTTCATGAAAATAGAATAAGTACAAATAAATACAAGTCCGCCCACCAATGAAACAAGTGTGATTCATGCGCGTGAAACATTTTTGTTGCTTGAAACGTGTTTCATGAAATAGATCGCGTTCTATTTTTCTGTTTCAGTTTCACGGTTTTCGGTCAAAAATACATTCATAAAAAAATTAATAACGACCAAGAATTCAATATTGTGTTCGTTTCAGTGGTAGAGCAAGATGGAGAATTGTATAAGTATAACATGGAGAAGTACTCGAATAGATAATCGCAAGAAAAAGCTTAGCAACATGTTGCCTAACAGATAAGTCCATTATTTTATGGTTGTACCCAGTAACGTTGTTTTCTTTATTTTATTTTTATGGCTTTTTGACAATAATAGAAGAGTTGCCAAATAGAAGTTGTAGTTGCTCGTAATCACTTTCCATTGTGTGCTACAGTCTCCACTCCACTACACTACCAAAAGACTTTGCAAACAATTATTCTTGTTTCTTTAATTAGTGTGCAAGAAAGAAACGGTTTCGCTTTTCGTTATTTATTGTTTCATGTTTTATGTTTTATGTTTCACGTTTCATGTTTCTTTGATGTGCGGCCTGCCTAACGGTTATAGAAATATGAATTTTTATCCGGGAGCTTTGAAATGCGCTCTGACGCTGAAAGCGGCTAGCGGATACCATTCTGGAAATCATCTGCGTTAGTGCGTTAGCGTTACATCTAGAAATAAAATAAAAAAATCTATAAACATAAAGTATTTGATTGAATCCTTTTTTATGAAGTTAGTTTAAATATTTTCTCCTTCGTCATCCTCATATAAATCAGGAACATTATTTTGACAACTTTTGCAGGAACAATCGCTGCAGCATGTTAAACCCTCTTTCAAGCAGACACATTTATTATTTTGACATAATTTATCTTCGCAGAATATCCATTAGTTGCCTTATTTATATCCATTGGTATGGGATCAGCAGTCATCAAAACACGCTCAAAAAGTCCATTATTCCTAGTCCAACCAAAGTTAACAGGGTCAAGTATAGGCATAATAGGTACACTGCTCAACAATTGAACTGGATAATTGCAAAAATCCTGAAATAAAAATTTGAGAATATGAAAAAAAAGACGTGTTTTATTTTATCAATAAACAGTATTCATGGCGAATATTTTTTGCATGTTTATTGTTTGTCGATGCTCTCTCTCTCCCTTATCTCTTTCACGGAAATATGCAGGAATGTTGTTTTAAAATCTGAAAGTATCAGTTCTACAGAACCGCTTATATACACTTGATTTTGCTACTGTTATCAATAGTTTTGTGTATTCGCTTAAAGAATAATATGCCGTTACGACGATTAGAAGCAGTGCAACTCGAGCAATTATTGCGTTGGATACAGGAAGGTTTGTCTCAAGAAGAAGTCGCTGTGCGGCTGAATGTGTCTCAAAGTGTCGTGAGTCGTGCGTGGAATCGGTATTTAGCAACTGGGTCTGCAGCGTACACACATGGTGGAGGACGGGAACGAGCTACAACTCTTGCTCAAGACCGCTTCATAGTCCTGACTGCAAGAAGAAACCGAACATTCACGGCTTCAAGAATTAACAGCTTTTTTAGACAAACTACTGGAAGAGTGATTTCTGGTCAAACTATCAGAAGAAGATTGCATGCATGTAACTTGAGGGCTAGACGTCGCGCTACCCACCCAAGAATGACGGCGGAGCAGCGTGCATGCCGATATCGCTGGGCGAGAGACCATAGTCTTTGGACTCTTGAAAATTGGAGGCACTGCCTCTTTACCGACGAGTCCAGATTTGGTTTGTATACGTGTGATGGTCGAATATTGGTCCGCGAGAAAGAGGACAGCGATACAGTGAACATTTAATGGCCCCAACAACTCTTTTTGGTGGTGGGTCAGTTTGCGTTTGGGGAGGCATATGTCATAATGGTCGCACTGATTTAGTGATCTTAATTAATGAGACAATGACTGCCATACGATATCGAGACATGGTTATAGAGCCGATAGTCGTCCCATTTTTTGGTGCAATAGGTGAACAATTTGTATTAATTGACGATAATACCCGTCCGCATCGTGCGAGAATTGTGAACAATTGCATAGAACATCATGGAATTACAAGAATGGAGTGGCCACCCTGTTTACCAGATATGAATTGTATCGAACATGTTTGGGCCGAAATGTCTAGGCGATTAAACCGGATTCCACAACCTCCCCAAACCCTAGAACAGTTGGCTAATGAGTTGCAGGCAATTTGGCAAATCATACCTCAGCAATTTATCAATAATTTGTTAATGAGCCTTCCGAAT